GTTTTCAACTCAGTCTTCTTTTTACCATTTTCAACCAGTATCTGAATGCTACTATGACCTGTCTGAATTTAAAGCTTTCTGAGGTTGTATAACATACCCTGTAACCATACAGGTGTTCAAAGACACTAGTGGCAGGTGCCAAAACATTCCATTATCTGCCCAAATTTGATTAATTTATTTTCAGACCTCAGAACAAACATTGCTAGATATAAAAAAGCTCCTGCTAAATTAAGGATGTCACAATTCCAAATGACGAAGAGGAAAACTATTTTACTTATCCTCTGTCTTTAAAGCAGCTTCATTTGAGGTGAGGGGGGGAAGAACAACCAGAGAGTAAAGGGAGAGAAATTTTTTGCTGAATTTTTTCAAAGATAACGCATCCATTTTATTTCGGAAGCTAAAATATTTCAGTGCACAATTTCTCAAATTGCTTTCAAAAAAGAAAAAAATCAAACAGAAAAGAAAACCTGCAATTAGTCAGAACCAGACCCTGTGAGCAACACCTCACTATTAACATATGAGACTCCATGCAGCTGGACTTTCTTGATCCCACAGCCTGTATCACACCCACACCACACACACACTCCCCCCTTCCCTTGGGAATGTATACTCACACTGGATTTCCTCCTGCCAAAGACACCTGCATCCTTCTTCTGTTAAAGTTTAACAAAACAAAGCCACCTTTTACTGGTTCCACCGAGGAAATGCCAAGTTCTAAAGTTACAGAGACCTCTAGAATGTGACAGCTCTCACAGCAAAAAAAAAAAAAAAATCCTTAAAAGTAGGTGCCTACTGATAGGGAAGGGAGAAACAGTTTAACCAGAAGAAACATCTCAGTGCAACCTTGGTTGCCTACACAATGAAATTAAGAAAAGCTGGGGCTCTGGAATAAGAGCTTTGAAAGACATTTCATTCAAGCTAGCACACACCAGTAGACTTTTGTTCAAAAAAAACCAAGTACTATAAAGAGATGATGCATATTTCCTTGTTTTCCATGCCAGAAATATAGTATCAAATTTAAAAAACTAAACATTATTTCACACAGGCCACAAAAAGCAGTGACCTTTTTATAAAAGTAGAAAGTCTCCAGACATCCTTTATATTCTTTCCCTAAGCACTGCTCAATAAATGTTGCAACCTTGAGGCTTTTAAATGTAGCAGTGATGATATCATCATTTTAAAGGCACTTTAACAAAACATTAGGAGAAACAATTTCTTTTCTCAAAATCAAAATAACAGTAACCAAGTTGATTAAAAGTGGCTTATACTAAAAATATTCACAATATCTGCATTTACAGGCTTCTTTATGTAAGAGCAGCAAGCAACATACAGAATTCTGAAATAACAAAAAAGCCCTTTGAACTAATGTGGCACAATAAACATTTCATTTAAGCTCCAAGAGATACATGCCAGAAAAGCACAATTTTTACATTACAGCAAGTAAGAATAAATACTAAATAATAAATATTTGGAAGAATATAATATTTCCAGCTATTGTACTTAAAAGCTCAAAAATGTTTTCAATTCCATGCATAGAGCTGCTCTGAAAGCCACACTGAATATATTGCCTTTGTTTGTTTAGGTTATGCACAAATAAATATTGGCATGACAGTTAAAGACACATCCTTGAAGTAGTCTACCCAATAAATTTGGAAAGAGAAAGAAGAGCAGGAGGAATAAAAAATCCAGCTGTATAAGATTTTCTTTGTTGCTTGCTTGTTAAGGAATCCTTCTGGCACAACTGAGGGGATTATGAATTCACATGTGAATTTATCCCCTATTAAACTTTTAGTGAAAGGGTCAGTTAGCAGGAATGATAAAGCTCAAGCACACCAGTCACATGCTGGCAGAGCATCTGTGACTGGCTCTACTCAGGCATGTCCCTGGTTTATAGCTTTAACATCGAGAGGAAGCTAAGGGGGCAGGCAGAAAACTGTCCACTTGGGAAAAGACTGGAAATAGTGTAAAGCACAGTTCTCAGGAGACAAAGGCAGTGTGACTTCACGACTTCAGGTCCCACTTTTTCACCTTTTTTTTTCTTTTTTAAAGAGAGCACCAAGGAGGACAGAGCAGGTTAACATCTCCCATCTCACTGGAAAGGGTTCTTATCTCTTAGCACTTATGTAGCACTTTGGCCACTCAGATCTTCCCATTTTCCACTCCAACTCCTTTCACTGGGTTACCTTAGCTTCCAAGCAGCATTCCTGGTCCCACACATATCACTGCTGTACAGGTGGCAGTTAAAAATGTACAGCAACTGTGCCAATGCTGAAGCCTGGTCAAAATTTACATTTACACATAACCTCAATATCATAAATTTTCTTTTTAAAATTTATACTTCTATTGCTATTATGCAATGTCACAGAGAGGACAATCCTGTTTGTACCTTCCTGTGGTTGTGTTATTCCTACAAAAGATTTGGTTCAAGCTTTTGGGGTGAAGAAACAGGAAAAGTACAAAAGCCAGCAACACGCAGCAGCAACAGTCATGATGCAAGACTTACCTTTATTATAACTAGAGGTTCTGCGGAGCCAGCCTGCGCAGTCTCACCAGCCACCACATCCACTGTCCAGGTGCCCTATCACCTAACTTTTCTTCAAAGCTCTTGGGGATTGAGCATCCTCTAGAGTCAAATGAATCTGACCTTCCCCTAATACTCCCCAGCAGCAGCCCACAGACAGTGTTTGAGCACACACCTTGGCCCCTAAGCTGTCCCAGGGCCCCTGTGCCAGGCCTGCAGGCTGGCTGAGCTCAGCACGGGGAGGGATGTGCCTGCTGCTGCAGCTCTATCCCCAGGACCATATTGGGAAACATCTGCTCCCTTCCCTAGTGTGAGACTCAAAGAACACAGCAGCACACTCCTCACTCGCCTGCACCTGCAGGACCTAAGGGGTGCAGTGTTTCTTGTTGAGACTTTCCGAAATCTTGTTGTTTGAGGAGTCAGTGGTAATAAGGCAGACATGTTACTTGGCAATCCATTTTAAAAGTCCTGTTAGTGAGTTCTTTTGCATTAAGTGATGGCACAGTTGAGACAGCCATGACACACAGTATCACTATACAATACCAGAAGGTTTCAACTTATAGTGTAACACCATACCTCATCAGAAGGCTTCAGGCATCTGTCCATACAGAGTAGCACCACGTCACCTCAGAAGGCTGCAAGCAACTGCCCTAATGCTAGAGCCCAGCCTTTTATCCCCTCCTGTTGATGCACTGCACCTGTGTGCCCTCTGTTCCCTTTGGTGGTTGGTCAGTGCCCCCTCGTTAGCTCCAATGGGATTCACCTGCTGCTCACAGCTGTGCCCATTGGGGATGAGGCTCAGCCCAGCCCCACCCCAATTAACACAAACTGTGCACCTACAAAGTGACACAAATAAAAATAAAATCCTGACCTTCACCTACAAAGTGACACAAATAAAAATAACAAAATCCTGACCTTCAGAAAATTTTTACCAGGCTTGGAAGGAAGCATATTGTAAAACAGCCCTCTAGATATGTTGTATGGAAAAGTGAAGAGATCCAAAAATTCTAATATAATACTTCATTTACCCATAATGTGAAACTACTTTTCACAGTTATTCACAAAAGCTACATAGTGAAAACTGGATCACAGGTACTGAAATTGCTTTGAGGTAAAAGAGAACTCGTTTGGATTAAACATGCTTTCTGCTCACTTCCCACTCCAAGTAATCCAATTGCCTATAGTTATACACTTGATTTTTCTGCCCATTGTGGTTTGATCAAAAATATCCCTCAAAAAGGGACTTCTTTATGCTACTTGGTCAGTTTCAGTCCACAGCACAATTTACATTGCATCTATTTCTATTTCCTGCAAGGGTGAATAGCCCAGCACTTCTGCCAAATATTTGTCTACGCAAGTTTAGACTTCACTTTTGTACCATTATTAGCCATCATTCAAATTGCTTCCACCATTAATGGAAAGAAAAAATAAACTCAGTTACAACAAATGGGGTATTAATTTATTTATTTAACTTTTTTTCATATTAAACACAAAGATTTTTTCTCGTGTTTGACAGAACAGGCTTACTTACATTTTTCTCAACTCTTGTTTTTACCCTTTTTCAAATGGCTGTTTTTGCTGTGCTGTTGATGCATATGCAATTCCATGTGATGCAATTGCATTGCATGGCTTAATATATGAAATCAACCAAAGATCAGAACATTAAGCACCTGCAAAATAATCTTCAATCACCATCTTTAGCCAGATAATAAACTAAGTAAATGACAGCCATGTGCCATGCTAATAAACTAACACCAGAGGACTGAAAAATGTGAAAAAAACTTTTAAAAATAAGTGGTTATTTAGCATAGTTTTAGGTTCTGGAAGATGGGACACTTTAATAATATTTTAAAGGACAGTGTGCAATCTGTAAGACAATGAAGTTTTGTACCAACTAATCATCAGATGACAATATTTTTATATCATAATGAGGATACAGCTAAAAAGTGCCTTCACCATTCTAGGCAGTGCTGGGTTTTTTTCACCCACACAAGAAGAAAGTGAATAGCCAGTAAAATAATTTAAATATCTTCTTTTATAAAATATAAATAAATAAAGCAAGCTTTCTATTATACAGTTTGGAGAATTTTTGTTGTCAGAATTTGTCTTTTTTTTAATATTTAGAAAGAAGACTACAATGAAGAAAAGCAAGTGGGTTTGCCATCAAAAGCATTCATTGCTCTGACACACAAACACCTGTCAGTGGAAAAAGTCTTCAACTTCTTCACTTCTCTTTACCATGAAGAAATGCGTATGAAGCTTTCAGACTATTTTCTTCCAGTGTTTTGAAGTACCTTTCAGTTCACATGAAGGCTAACAATTGCAAAGAAGCAGAAGAGAAGGAAAAACCGGCAAAATGGAAAGACTGAGGAGCAGTGAAAGCCTCCCTGCTTATAGCTATTCTTTTGTTGAACACTCATATGAAACACCCAGTTTAGGTACAGCCGAAAGGATATAAAAAAAAAAACAACGCAGGAAAAATATTTCAATTGTTTAATTCCTAATGTAAATTTCTTCCTCTGCAAATATTTTCTTCTGAGCAACATTTACACATTAACAACACAAATAATGAAATATTTAATGAGCAACAGAAATAGAACACTAATTATATAAAATTAAAATTTACATGCAGGGTTTTTTGCATTTACCTTACTTGGTGTGTAACTGCAAAATAACTACAGTACACTAAGTTGGTTTTATAGCTAACACTACTACTGAAACAAGAACCAACATTTCTATCAAGTGCATGAAAAATGTTACGGGTTATTTTGAAATCACTGTTGCACATGGCCACATAAATGGAATTAAGCTTGCTAATTTTGTAAGAAAAAAAAATCCCAAAATATGTCTTTCACTGATATAAATTAAAATCTTTACAAATATCACATTTAAAAAGAAGAAGAAAACTCGCAGAAGCATCAAGCCAGCAATCTTGTCACAGCAAAGCCTACTTGCTGTGGATTAGTAAGCCCTCACTTACATCTGATAAAGCAGCTCTTCCTCCAGCTCTCCTTGCTTAGCTGCCCCTATCAATCCAGGGATACCTTTTCTCTGAAACAATTACACTTGAGGAGTTTTGAACTTCTGGTGCAGACTAATCCATTTAACTGCAGAAGCACCTTTCAAGCTTCCATTTGACACAAGTCCATCGTTCATCATTTGCTGGTGCATATGCTTTTTGCTGACAGAGCTCCATTACTAGAAAAAGCTCAGTAAGTAAAGCTGATTTGAAACAACTATATATTATAGATAGCCTGCATGAGACACGCTGATTTTGAGTCTAGAAAATCACCACATAAAAAAGGAAGGGGGGAGGGGTGGCTGAAAAGAACTATTTAATTATTAATATACTTTCACTTCTTACCAACTGCTGCAATGTGATTTATTAGTGTTAATTTGCAATTTACTTGGGCATGGGAAGAGAAATTTAACTCTATATAGCAAAGTACATAATATGCTTTGGAATTCTTGGATCAGAAATGTTTTTGCCTTTGATTAATACTGCACCAGTGCTATCACAGATCCTTACCAACTTTAGCATGTTGTAAGATCATCAAGCTGGAAATCAATATGCTGAACCATAAATTCTGCAGCACAAGCAAGAATACATTTCATTCTATTTTTTGACCAGTGACATAATTTAGGTAACATTAACAAGGCATTTCTGTAGTGTATTTGGCAATAGTAAGTGATTTACCAACATGCATTAAGGATCAGCATTTGGTGTGGTTTACTGTTTTAGCCTCTACTTTAGAGATGCACGTAAAGGGCAAGGAGGGGGTAAGTCGTGTACTCAACATCCACATTTTCTTATTCATCACTCTGGCTAATAAACCTTACAGCTACTGGGGATGGGTATAAGGAGGTTTTGCAAGTTTGGCTGTGTTCACTCAACCATCAGAATTTTTTTTTTTGAGACAGAGTCAACCATAAAAAATAATAAAATAAAAAATACAAGGAGTATGATAATGAGAGCTGGTAGCAAAGTAAAGGGTCTATCAATAAAGTACAATTACCTTTCCCAAAGCTCCTTTAAGTCTCCACAAAAAAAAAGCACTTCCATGAAACCAAGGCGGTACATGCTCAGCCTGAATGTCAAGTAATAGTTTTATACCTACTTTTCCAAGTGTCTTGCTTTAAAAAGGGATAGAGTCACCTCCCCTAAAATTCACAAATGTTGGGCCAATCTTTGGGGGAAAAAGTGAGACAGAAAAGAAAGACAAAAGAAGCAGCTGAAATAATAACACATTTTAGGCTCTATCTTTCAGGCATAGCCAGATGAGGCCTTTTCCCACAACCAATATTCTTCTCTCTTCACTGACTGGGAGGAAAAAAGAAGTTAAAAATTGGAACAGAGATGCAGAGTTTGTTGTATCCTTGAGCAGGAATTAACTTCCATGCTTCAGTTTGAGAGAATGGAACTTGTAAGGCTTACTCACACTACAAATTTTTGTACATTATCAAGGTTTTTTCTTTTCAGTTTGTAGGCATAGTACAAAGAGCAACATATGGAAGTAACAGTCAGGAAACATCATTAGGATAAAAACCTTAATACTCCATGATTTCTTAGACATTTGACTTTGTTCCAACAGATTTGTTTGTGACACCAGTTACTTTAATAAACAGGAAGTATTCAATCTGGTTATGATGAGCTTCTTATATAGACATTCTGAACATTTCTCCCAGAAGATTCCACAAGAAGCCAAGACTGGAACCTGGTGTCCTCTTTGCCCTCTTCAGCCTAGATGTTACAGAAGCTGCCTCAGACTTCTTCACATGTCAAACAGGCAGCACAAACATGCCTGAGGCATCTCAGTTTGCAAAAAAACAGGGCAAATTTCTCTGATTTTACAGTATGCTTGATACACCACAATAGCAAAGCTGGAACATTCTTAAATATCTTAAGGAAGTTCACATTTATGCACACAAAAGCAATCTCCAAATTCAGGACAAGAAATTTGTCTCATTACCTCCCTACTTCCCATATTGGAACTCCTGGTAACCATGCTCAATTTCAGAGTATTAAGTTCAAAATAAAATTAGAGTCCTATTCCACACATTTTTTCCCTGTTATCACCTAAAGAAATGAAGAGACAAGGAAAATGCAATGTGCATTTTACTGATGCACTTTTTAATAGCTAATGTGATAACCTAACTTAACTACAACAACCTAATTATCTTCAATTGTAAGGAAATACAATCCCCTTCTCCTCTATTTCCACTACCAAACCACAAACACAATCTTTCTATTTAAAGAAAAAAGCTGGTATGCTGACACGTGGAAAATAGTGTTTACTGATTAACAGGTATCTCATTTAGAATGATTCAGATTTTTTAGTCTATTTTAATGAGCGGTAGAAAGCATATAAGCTGCAGATAGAAAAAAAATCAACAGGAGTGGACAGCAACAAAAAACCAAACAGAGCTCAGATGATCAGACTAAAACAGGGACAGACACTAACATTTCTGAGGCAATTAGAAGGGAAAACACCCCACCTTCAACAGGGACAAAACCAGTGTTTCCCAAAGCCACAGTGATTGCTCAATTATCCCTTCTCCTCTGTTTGAGCATCCATTTCAGACTAGTACAGAAAAACTAGGTTAGCATGATCTGAGGAAGCTTAAGAGGAGTTTTAAATGCTCACTTTTATAAATCTTTATTTTAGTGAAAATTACATGTGAGCAAGACAATAGCTGCTACCCAAGTTCATTCTATTTCCAAGGATACAGTAAATGTTTAAGAGTTTAATACCTGTTTTGATCCTCAATATCATTTTCATATTTTTTTCATAGATCTAGAACACAAGCACTTAAAATCTGACCTTCAGTGTTCTCCTAATTATATATTCCATACTGGCTGGATATTAAGTTGTAAATTTGAATAATTATATTCGTTTCTAAAGAGTCTATCTTACTTAAATAGTTTATAAAATATCATGGTTCCATCAGGGGTCTATTTGTACTTATTGGGAAACATAACGAGGAAAAACAACACAGAAAGTCAACCCAGAGAAGTTTTAAAAGGTACCATAGCACTCTATAAAAGAAATATTGTTTCCTCACTACTGCATCTGTGGTCTTAGAACTTTGAATGAGCTACACATCCTATTGCAGCTATTCAACCCTCTGCTACTCACATTCTCTTAAAATTAAACTCTTCAGCAAGATACAGACTACATACATAACTATTTACCTTCAGAAGAATGTGTTTAACTGTAAAAAATATAAGACCTACACGCTATTTCTGAAAATACACCTATTTCCAAAGGATAAGTTTTCAAAGCTTTTTGTGTGCACATTTGATGCCATGTTTTATTAAGAAAACAATTCTCCTCAGTGAACAATCATTCAAGTTACACAAGAAATGTTTGCCTCACACACCTTTGCCAAAAGTGAACTCTGAAGTTCTAAAATGCAAAATATTGATCCTTTATTAAAGCAAACAAGCTTTAGAACTCCAGGAGACAATCTAGAGATGATCCATCCTGTATTTCACCTCTTATACCTACTAAAATAGGAGAGTCAAGTACAACATGCTTGCATCTGACAAAGACTGGACCTAAACCTACAGCATGTTGATTTACACACCCATCAAAATCCTTGCTTAAACAAAAGTTCCTTCTTTTTCCATGCATTTTAGGTTAATTTAAAAAATGAAATTATTACAGGCCCCATTTTGCTACAAACTGAGAATGTGCACATTCTTTAGCAGATTACTCACAAGCATGGTCAGGAGTAATGCATATAAAATGGCTAATGGCAATGTTACTCATTTTTTATTTACTACACAAATAGAGTAGACTAAAAATGAACATAAGGTCCTGCAGGGCAAACTCTGTGTTCTGTAGATATAAAAACATTGCTCATTAAGAAAAAATATCAGATGCAGTGGCTACATTAGAGAACAGTTAAGTGTGTAAAGAATGGAAGCATACATCAAAATACAATGATTTTGTATTTTCTAGGAAAAATCAACAGTGATACTGATGTTATGAGTCTCCTATTTTTCATTTAGTAGGTCTCAACACTAAATTATTAACAGTGGACCACTCTACATCAGTCAAAAAGACTGAACATGAGACCTTTTGCCTGAGGTTAGACTCTGAGACACTCCAATCAGCACATTTAAACTCTTAAATATGATGTTGCCTTCAGTATTTTTTCTATCTAGCTTCAAGAGCAATTTATGAGCTTATGAGAGACAGACGCCCAGAGAGAAAAAATTGACCTGTCTTTTTCACAGGATGTGCAAACTTCAAGAACCTTGAACCTTTCTAATCCATCAACAAAATACTTGTCTTCAGTTGCCAGATGGGTATTTGTAAAATAAAAGTAAAAGCCACACACAATATTGAGACTAGCAGTTCCACAAGGAGACAGAATTAAATCAGAATACCTATGTGAAGCAGAAAACTCTATGTGCATAACACTGCATGTGTGTATGCACACAAGCAACAGGGGGAGAACAAAGGTAACAGAAACCGCATCAGCATTACAATAAAACCTCTCCAATGGAGAGTTTACCCAGTTTGTTACAAAAATAAAGTAGCACAGGTAAGATAAGCAATTAAATATAATTTCACAAAATTTTTTTCAAAAGAAATGTTTACTTCAAAGAAGAGATCAGAGACTACAATGCAAAAAATTTTCATCAGTCAACTTCTTGTAATGGCTACTTAAACACTAATTTAAACGCTTTTCTTGTTCATTATGAAGATACAGAGTCTCTAGCTTAACTCTGTCAGAACAGCTAGAAATGTGGAACACAGAGTTAAAGCTTTACTTTCTAAATAGTAACAATTGCAAAATATATTTGCATATTTCAGAAGGTCACAGCCTACTTTTATTACAAACTGTACATATTGACAAATCCCAGCTCCAGTCAGAGGTCAGCAAAGCATGTTTGACTGGATTCTACATACTTTATCTGTCTCCAGGTGTACCCAAGAACTGAATATTGGGTGCATACACATCTACAAAGTAACAGTGATCCACCAGGTTTCAACATTTTTTACCTAGGAGAAAGCAATCCCTGAAGTAGAGATGGAATGTGCACTCTAAGCATCAGAGTTCTCTATCTGATGAAGAGGTTTTCAGGACTGAAGGGAAATTTATATGCTTAAATTACCACAACTGCAATAGAATTATCATACCTTTTATTCTTTAACACTAGACTGTTCACAAAATATCAAATGGTTTTTCAGGGAGTTGCTCTCTTTCCCTCTCACGGAGTTCCCCTACAGCAGGTAACTCAAGAACATGCCACCCCCAAATATCTACTTCATGCTGGCAAATCACAACGAGGAATACATCCTGACTGCTTGCAGTTATAACACTTACTTAAGAAACAAAATAAGTGGGGAAGACAAGATCACACTGAGTTACACCTTTGTACTACAAACAGCAGAATCGTAAGTCCCAAAATACCCACAGAGGTGTAGCATCATAAATATATGCTTATGAAAAGACTGTGACAGTTTAGCATATGAAAATCATTATACCTTTTCTAGTTTAATACAAGTTACATTCACATCCAAAGATAATTTAAAAGCTTAAAATGTAAGCTTTGCCAGACTAGAAGGCTGAGCTGGTTCAGATGAGCAATGTTTGTTGATTGTTGCTATCTAAGATTTTAACCCTGTTTGAAAATTTTTTGGTCTAAGAGAAAGGTAGAAGATATTTCTTTAAACTGATGTGAGCTCCCCTCTGAACCAGCAGCAATTTGGCAAGGAAGATGAGCTGGCACATCAGAACACTCCATTAATTCATGAAGACCAGTAGCTTCTCTGTAAAAATATGCAAGGCCCTAATGCACTTTGACAAATGACAAAGGTTATTAAAGGACAGCTTGTGGGAGTATAATTGCTTTGTGACTTCATCACTATTAACAGAAAGAACATTGGTAGAGAGTTAACAGCATGAAACATGAGTACAGGAACCCACCAAGATCTTGACTCAGCAAAGCACATGAGGACATTAACTCCACTCCTGTATTATAAAACAATTAAGAACATGGTTAAGTGCATGCTATATGACTGTCACTTAACTGGAGAAAAAAACAGCCATCTTTTCAGAGGCCATGACAGTCTACATCATAGTATACAGAGATATATACTATATAGACAATTAGTACTGCTATGCTACATTTTCTATAGATAATGAAACAACCCTTACCAACTTTGGTGTAGTCTTTATATAGATTATGTTGATTAACTTACAAGATGACTGAAATTGTTAAAGGACTCCATCTCCAAAGCTCTGCCCAGAACATTTAGGGTCTCCTTTCACCACTCCAAAAAACTCAACATTTTCTGCATGCATTAGTTTCTCCATGTTTCTCAAAAATACTTACCAAAGCTGAGGTGTAAATCAATTTATATTACAAGAGTTTAATGGTTTCAAAATAGAAAAAGGAGGAACACAGGAGAGAAATCTGACAAGGTTAAAAGGAAACTGGGGAAAGGTTGAGGCCTAACACATTTTAAATAAAAATCAATCACAACGTTTCAGGAATTACAACGATGTAGCATACCACTGCTCAAAGTGAGGGGAAATGAGCGACAGGATTCCAAACCACATGGCAGGACTTGCTTTGCACAGAAATAAGATACATTAACTCAGCTCTCTGCAAAGCACTGACTCATGGCAAAGGTAGGGCAAGAGATCCAATGCATTGCACTGAATAAGCTCAGAATTCACCATGAGCCAGAAGCCCCTGCCTTCCTCAGGGGTAACACCTCCATTTACCAGTGAGACCCCAGATTTTGCTTTTGTGGGGCAGCTGCACCTTCCTTCTTATGTTTTTGCAGTGGCAAAAATCTTCATACAAACTCATGAGAAGCATCTTGCCTGACACAAGACAGAACTACCAAGTTTCAAACTATTTTCTGAAAAGGCTGTGTGCCACTGCAAACCTTGCTCCTCCCCCACACAACAGCATTAGCTGGAAAGAAAAATGCACACATAGCATATAAGAGAAAAAACTGTTCAAATACTTACTTTATATCAAAGGTCCAACCTACACAACAGGGAAACAATATTCAAAAAACAAAGGATTGGTCATTTGGAACAGTCATCTCAGTAAGCTTTGTACCATTGGTTTGAGGGTTTTTAGCACAGATGAGTTGTATAAGCAGCTAATTTTATGCTACTTTTCTTTTAGTAAAAAAGGATGCACTGGGTCCTCAGACACTAGGCAGAGTCAAGTTGGCTAACTATTATCCACTACAGAAGGATCAAGCAGCATTTATTAAGTGCCAATTTAGACATCACCCCAATTGGTTCTGTGTGTTTTGTATTTCCTTGGAGTTAAGAATTCCAACAAATTGAAAGAACTTAATTAAACTGCTGTAAAAGTCCATATTTCACCTAACTTCAAATGAAAAGGTTTTACAAAGTTTACATCCCTCTCTCTGGAATAATTTGTATCCCCACAGCCAACAGATGGTCGGTGTCCCAGCTCCCTCAGTGTCTCAGCCAAGATACTGGTTTTTGGATTGAGAATCTGGCTAAAGTGACAGTCTAAAACTTACACTAAGTCATCACATCTTTCCAACCACTCACACAATTAACCTCACCACCTTTTCAGCCTTACTGCCTAGAATTATCTGTAAAACTAGTGTAATCTACCTACCTAATCCAGCTGGGTTTCTTTTTAACCAATTCAGTGTTGGAATATTGTCTGTATTTTATTCACCTGCTTTCTTCTCTGCTGCTGCAGATAACATCATCTCAACAAATACTATGACTAGTCATATCCACAATACTTGATAGGCAAAGTTCAATTAAACTAAGTCAGATGTCCAGAAATGGAATACTGTTTGAAAACAACTTTTAAGTAGACCCAATCCAACTTAGTAGATGCTGCTGCTACAGTTTGTCAGCAAAGGAAACTTACTACCTCTAAATGGAATTTGTAATGAAATGTTGTGGGAGTCAGAAAATCACTATCAACACTGCTATAGCTGGGTATGGCCTCTAGTCTCACAGCAGAGATTATTCTTGCATTTCATCAACCCACATGAAGCAGCCATGCTTAAGGACTGAAGAAAATTCGTTTAACATTAAGATCCCTAAAGACAGACAAAGTAGAAAAGGAAAAGTAGGGGTGGGGCAGTGGTGACAGAAACAAGAAAAGCCTGAACCAATACTCCTCCAAGAACTATTCACTGATTCTTTATTTCCACACCATAGAAAACTGTCTTTCACAGAACAGATTTGCTTGTGTAAATACATGATGTCAGCATAAATCATATTTTCATCTTTTGTCAGTGCCAGCAGTATTCTTGGACTTCTCTGAAGGAGGGCAGGAAGAAAAAAATTCAAAAACAATAATAATAAAAATGAAGAGCCAAAACCATCTTCCAGCTTTGACAGAAAAGTCTTTTTGTTCCAAAGATATTTGTCTTCACGTAACCCAGTAGCACCCTCCTGCAGAAGTCATGCAATGAGAAAGCATCACAAAGGGTTATCAAAATGCAAAGTCAGTATCAATATCAACTTTCTACTCTTTCCAAACATGAACTTCCTTTGCTATCTTATTTCCTCTTCACTGAAGTAAATTAATACTTGCTCACATTTAGAACAAGAATTAAAGTCATCTATGCCAGGGCATTCAGACCATTCAATAGAAGGACAGCACTGTGTCACACAAGTCATGAACTGAAAGTAGGACACATGTTACTAACACAGACAAGCATTCAATCTCCTCTACTTTTGTCCCTTTTTTTGGCTTTTATGAGATTGTGTACTGCTTTTTGCTTCTTCTTAGTCAAGTAATTATTTGTCCACTAAACAAAAATTTGGTTTTATTCTGATTACAATTCTCCACAATGATCTCTGATTATTACACAGCAATCGCTTTACAGGACTATGACTGTTGATGAAGCCTTCACAAGAAACAACACGAAAACAGAAAAAAGCCCTTAACATAAGGATTAAGTTTAATACACTTAAAGAATTTTATTTCTGATGGGGTTCATGAATTATAGTAAATACCATGCTATTTACCTTTCTCCTCTGCAGATATATAAAATATACCTAATTTGTATGCTTATATAAAATATCATTCCTGAGCCTCCTAGTTTAAAGTTCATGATCATAACATGCACTTTTGTAATTTGATTATATTTATTATTTTACTAGATCTATCAGCTTCTACAAGGAGAGAAGAGCAACATGTTAATTTACCCTCCCTAGTTTTCAAGTATGACTCTTCTGACACAGCAAGCAGACAGCAGATGCAGCATCTACAACTGACACACATTAAAGAACAACACATATTTGTGAAGAAGTTCCACCCTGATGTACAGAAAGCAATAACTGTCCCAGTGACTTCAAGAAAAGGCAAAAGTACAGTTATGTGCTGTAGAAACATGGTTGGTAGGCACTACATTATTACATGAAATAAGATACCTGGAAATAGAGGAAAGATTTTTGCAGTCACACAGAACTGAAGAATTTGTGGAAATAAAGTGGAAGCCAACACAACTGTCCATCACTGGGTCATCCAAGGTAGCAGTCGGGCAGCACAGGAATGATTTGAGAACTGAGTACAGAGCAATCAGAAAGGTTAGTAAAGTAAAGCAGCACAGAAGCTCCCCATATTTGCAAACCAATACACTATCATGAAAATGTATCACACCAAACAAGTGAAATACTCATCCTGCACAGCTCCAGTAAACCAGGACAGTGGTGGGAGCAGCAAAGCCTGTTAGAAATGATGACAGAGGACAGAACCTATACATCAGAAAATCTCAAACTACTAAAGAAATATATAACAGAGCAAAAACACTTCTGCAAGCTATTAAAAACTTAAGACTGTTGTTAGTTTATGATTGAAATTTATATGTTGAAATTTCTCAGGCCTGAGGTTTCATTTTTCAAACATCCAAGGAAAATAAAAACAACATTAGGCTCACATTAAATGAATCGTCCACTAAGAAAAATATCTCTATGAAAGGGAAATAAACATAGATTACATATACAGGCTGGATGTAATAAAGTTACATAGGCATTTTTTGTGACTTGTGATCAGTTATGAGTTTTAGGCTTAAACTGGACAAGCTTAAATCAGAACAGTAAACATTGCTCCTATTAAGTGGTAACTTTGGTAACACCATGAAGCCACTAGGTAGATCCCATACAACTACTGAATGCATCCATGCATCTGCATCCATGCTTGGCTCAGAGAATTTCTAAGGAGTCACAGACAATTGCTACACCAAAACCAAAACAAAATCCAATGCAAATAAGCATAAGAGGAAACTATTCCTGAAACTTACCATCCAAGACACTTCCAGAAATTCTGCAAGTGACAAATCAACAGTAAGGCTGTACATCCTTACACAGTTCATCAGAAGGCCGACATTCAACTTTACTGGAAATTCCACCCTCAAGATCCGTTTCCTCTTTCAGTAGGAATGTGTCCAACACCCAAGTCAAAAGCTTCTGCTCCCGTTTCTTGTATTTCAGAGATAATGTGTTCAGGGCTTTTTAGTAATAATTTCAGTTTAAAACAACTTTGAGATTCTTTTCAAGAAGTAATCTAAAGGACGCTTGGAAACATTAGGCAGGAAAAGAACCTGCTAACCACCACTGAGAATGCTACTGAAAAATATACCCTCAGAAATAAGAAATCAAAACAAAGCAAAATTAGTATAAGCAGAGAGATCTTGCTTTAAAGGAGATTTATTCTTACAGAATTCCCCAGGTTTGTTTATGCAGCTTTTAAGATGTGGACAATAAACTTACTAGAAGTAAGCCTATGCATATTTGAAGACGGCTTTACTATTTATATTAGTTGTATGCAGATGTGGATGTAACTTTAAAAGCTCACAATATTTTCCCAAAAACAGGAAAACACAAACTAAAATCTGTGATGATTAGTACTCCTGAGTACTATCAAATTACTTCAACAGTTACTATTTCAATAGTTAGAAGGCAAGTTCAGAGTTGCAAACATCAGCTTATAAATTTAATAAATACGTATGAGGAAGATAGGTATGGAAAGAGTACAAGATCAGAAGACAGAAAACTGTTTTGCAGCACTCCCGTGAAGTACTGCAGTACTTGAAAAAACAAACTCTTGTTTTTAAATAATATCCCTCACTAGACCTAAAATAATAGCACATAAAATGTTTGTAAAGAAAGCACAGCAGAACTCAGTGCTTTGGATTGAAACATTAATATCTGCTAATATAACAAAAAAGGTGTATAATCAGATTCTACCCGAAATCTAACCCAGAATAATAGTGACTATAGGTAATTTTTTATTAAAATAGCTTTAAGAGCACCCGAGTGACCAAGGATTTTCAAAGAGAAATTAAAGCCAAACAATAGGAATAAAGCTTAAAATGCTGTTTACACACTGATTGTACTGGAGGGGGGGGAAAAGGGTGAATTACATATCTCAGAACACTGTTTCGTTAAAGTAACTGTAGTCTCAGACTACTGTCTTCTTTTCTGCTGAAATAGAATCTGAAGAAGAAAAAGAAACTCAAACTAGCACAACCGAAGTTTTTATAGGTCACATGGGATGCCTGCTGCCATGCACCAGATGTGAATAGGAAAAAGAAAGTGTTCAACATATGATATCAAAAAACAGTGCAGTTTCAAATATTTTAAACATGATGTCAAGTGCATTCAACAGGTCTACAAATGCACTACATTAGCCTATATTTAGTAGGTGATAATTGAAATCAGAGATCCAGCCATTGCCACTGACATGTTTCTAAATACTACCCAATAAATTTTTGTCTGTTTCAGATTCTGTATGACAGCTGGCAGTCGGAAGGGGAATCACCCAGAGGGTATGAGCACACACATGTACAATGTTTCTGTAGTCATATTCCCGTATCTTCCCTTTCTAGAACTAATTCAACTGTGACAATACTGTTCCACAAACACATGCTCCCAAAGCAGAATTCCACAAGCTTCATGGCACCTTCCTGTAAGCACTGGGTATGAAGCAGGGCAGTAACTTAACTAACTCCAACTGTATGTCTTACATATGAATTTTCATGATGAAATTAATTCAATTATGTTAGAGAGACCAGATCCAGTACTCCTACTTACCCTTCCGATAATCTCTTAATTTTAGTTAGAGAAGGAAGAAATAGAAGAGAATCAACAATAGAAGATACAGTCTTAGTCCACATCTCTTTTGCCATTACCTTTTTTGTATCTATAATTATATACCATTTAACCAAAAGGAAACAAGAATTTCTTCTAAGCCTATAATCTTTCCTATTAGTCTCTGCTGTATCACGCATCCATTATCAGGTAACAAAAAGTGCAGCCAAGTAACACCAGAGAATAAACCATCTCTAGGATCATTTCTGATTTGGGAAGTGGACAGGTGTCAGCCATTTCTTGTCCCCCCTGCAGAAACGGTTTCTGCAAGCTGGTATGAAGAGCTGATAATCATATTTGTCATGTATAGTTAATGAACAAGCCCTCCTCACAACTCAGTTCTGCCATCTGTAAAATGGAGCCAGTGTTGTCTTTCCACTTCTCAAAGGAAACTGAACTTCTAAGCACATGATGAAAAACTGCCTGAGAAGACATGCCTGGCAATTTAGATACCAACAGCATAGCTTTTGACTGGAAATTTAAACATCTAATTAGAACCAATGAAGGCTGGAAGTTAAAGAATGAAGCTTTCATTACAAACTTACAGGCATCCCAGGCTCACAAACCTTTGTAATACAAGCAGCCAAACACTTCTTGGTTTTCATAGATTATATTTTAAAATATTGTCTAGCAAAATTATTTCCCAAGAACTTTGAAAATACTAGCTTTTTTAATGGAAAAAAAACCAAGTAGAACTTTGAGAGAAAAACCACCTTCTCACTTAGTATTATTTTTATAGGAAATCTATTTACAGAGCAACAATACTTCTATCCAAATAGTTAAAGCAAAAGAAAGCTGCATGGTACTCATTCTTAGCTTTTTAGACTCTAAGACACAGAAAAGTCATAAAATTACTAGCACCCATTTGAAGTATTAAACTCTGTAACTGGTATCAATAATTAAAATTACAATCGACATTAACCATGGACTGAAGTGAAAGAGCCAGAAGATACTTCGAGATAAGCAGAGTAGTCAAACAAAATCTGAGAGCAGCACATTAGATGGTGGGAAGGGGAAAAAGAATTTCAGTCTGATATTTTTTCTGCTACTCAATTAATTGCTAGAATCAAGTTAAAAAAATGAAAAAACCACAAATCCTTAAAAGTTATGAATGACAATTTTACCTATATTAACTAGTATCATAATCCAGAATGTCTCAGATTTGCTATTATTGACAGCTCTATTTCAAATGCAAAACTCAAGTAACTTTAAGACTTTTAATAAATTGAAGTTCAGAGACATCCGTCTTGAAACTTCCACTCAGCCAGCCCACAGATCTAGAGCTCGTCCCTCACCAGATTGTGTCAACATAGCCCTCAAAATGCCTCAAGTTCAGAAAAGGTCATTTAGAACCCAAGTGACAGATCATTTGGGAAGGAGGGGGCTACCCAGTGAGTGTCCTGTACAGCACAGGATTGATTGTAAAAGCTGCTGAAGATAAAAGTGCCAATCTGCGCCTTTCTTATGACTTTCGGTATAAAGTAAAAAGTAAAATGGATGCCTTTTATGACATTTTAATTCTATTCCCCCTTTCTACCACCTCCATTAAAACATTTTCCTCCTCTCTTTTGTGCTATCCAAGATTAAAAAGTCATTTATTGCAATAAAGGGATTTAGTGATTTGGGAGTAACTTTTATATACTGTACACCCTCTAGACACCCTGAAACTATGTTAATAATTTTCTTCCTATTAATTGTCTCATCAACTCACAGCTGGCTATGCTTTTTATTTCATTATGTTATTCATCAATCTAAAATAGAACTATAACAGAAAAAGAAATTGGAACGGAGCAATTTCAATATTTCAAAACAGATGCAAATCAACACTAGAGATGCTACACAGCATATTTTTATTGAGACAATTCTATACATGTTTGAAAAATGAACTTGTAATAAACTCATATCCTGTGAAGATATGTTTTTCTTTCCATCTTATGAGCTAATTATGCCAACACAACATAACGTTTTCCTAAATGCCTTATAAACTGACCCAGTTACTCAGAAAGTATTATTTTTAAATTGATGTGATAGATGCAAACTGGAACGTTCGGATTTCAATTCTGGCACCAATTCCCAGATCCCCTTCCCAAGTAATTTAAGGACTTCCTCCCGATAGTTTTTCATATTCTTTTAACTGACATTTTATCTTTATACAGTATCTCAGCAGAATGAACATGCACTAAAACAATGACAGCCCTTCTCTGGCTGTCATCTCTCATTCTGGCAAAGACAGATGTCTTACACTGGCTTATGCCAATAATAGAGCCGACAAAAAACAACAGAGACTACCTGCCTCTGATGTAAAGGCACCAATTCACATTTGTGACACTCATTTGTCAATTAACAGATTTCTTCCATTGTTGACACATGGGACTTAAAAGATGTGGGCTAGAATGTGATGAATTAAAAAAGACAGATGAGTAAGCTATGAGCTGCAAAGTAATACTATAATGTGCTTTAGATAGGAATATCAACTGACACCCCTGACAGGCCATACAAGGTTTTATTTCATTTTGCTCTGTATCTAGGCTTCATACTTTGTCTTCTTTGTTCTCTTTTCATCAAGCTCCTAACATCTCATTCTGACAGCCAGAGACATTTAAGGCACTTTCGTTTCAAATGCAAGTTAGCATACTTGATTTGTCATTAAAATGCAAAACGATTGCCATTGCAGGTAAATGTAGGTATGCTTAAAAGGTTGTATCTGAAAAGTAAAAGCTGAAAACCATTTCTGGCTGCTTTGCTTAACTCTTTCACAAGCCTCAGAGTTTTTACGAGGCAAGTGTTACTGTGCTGTAATAGAAGTGTAGCAGCACCTGCAGTTTGATACAGGGTACACTTTAGTAAATTTAAATAACATAAAATCCTAAAGTTATAATGTCAAGCACAGACAGGCACTGTCAAGTTTCCACATGGAGCCTTAGCATGGCTCACACCAGAATCTGAAAAGAGTCTATCATGCAAAGCTTTACATGATAAAGCTTTACATAGGGTCAAAGATGGTTTCCTTGTTAGTGTCTATGGGGTGGAGAGGGGGAGAATTGTTTACTCTTTTTGATACACTAGTTGTGGTTGAATTAGCTGAAATCACCAGAGAGGGAATTTCAACAGCAATTTGCCTTCTATTCCAATGCTCACTTTAAGAGATGAGGGCCTTAACATAAATAATTAATT